CTGTTTGGTCATTACCCCACCCTATCACGGTCAGAAGTCCTTTCTTTAACATCTGCCTCTCAGCTGGCTAGAGCTGTGACACCAAACTGCAGCTGTCTGCACGGGGGGGTGACCAAGAACAGCCCGTGTTGGCTTGTCTCATGTCACCTGCCCACCTCTGGCAGCCCCTCCTCTGGCAGGGGCAGATGGGGAACACTGTCTGCTTGGCAAACGAGATGCTTTTTTTGGGACACACCCCCATCCTCACCTGCAGCACCTCTAACCATTTGCCCCCTTCTGGCAGCAGACCAGGCGCTGTACCCTGCTCTCTCTGTCTCTACTCTCTGCGTCTTTCCTCCAGCCCGTGAGACACCCAGATTTTCAGCAGTCCCATTGCACTCAGAATCACACAATCTTCTAGGTTGGAAGGGACCTTAAAGATCATCTTGTCCAACCATCAACCTAACTGACAAAAATAGACACCCACACAACAAACAAAAAGCAACACCATCACTAAACCATACCTCCCAGCACTACACCAACACGTCTTTGAACCCCTCAAGGGATGGTGCCTCAACCACCTCCCTGGGCAGCCCATTCCAATGGCTGATGGGACAAGGTTAGCAAACTTCTTGAAGCTGTAAAATACATCAGAAACCCCTGCCTATTTTCTTTCACAGAATCACAGAATCTTAGTGGTTGGAAGGGACCTCCGAGATCGAGTCCAACCACATTAAAAAAAAAAGAAAAAAACCCAACAAACCCAAAAACACCACCCACCAACTAAACCCCACACCCACAACCCCACACACAACACCCCACCACAAACCAATAATCTTGGGCACTAGAGCATGCCCTGAAGAGCCATGTCTACACGTTTCTTAAATACCTAATAAAATACCTAATTTCCTTACCAGAGTTTTAAACAAAGGGAGGGGGACCCCAACAACCTGTTTGGCTTTTGGCTGTTCAGCTACGAAAGTCAGAGCTGCTCCTAAAGTTGTGGCTGAAGGTATTACAAAGGCTGACTGTGAAATACCAACTTAAACATAAGGCAGCAAGGCCCCCCTGCCCCAAGCATGAAGCTGGGGTGTTGCAGCTTCACACCACAAGCCATTTCCCTTGTGCTTCACCATTTTCAACTGAGACAATTTTTAAGGCCACTTACGTTCTGCTCCCTGCTGCTACGAGGCTTTAAACGCTTCCATCTCCGCATCCAGGACCTTAATGGCACGTAAGTACAAATACAGACTCATCAGCCCTATTAAAATTAAGCTCTATATGTGTCCACCACAGTTTTTTTTCACAGTTGTGTGCTCTACCACCCTGTGGAACACATCTCCCAGCCCAGCCTTACTGGGCTAGATCAGAGTTTCTTTGATGCTGTTTTCCAGCGCGGCGCCTTTGCTGTGTCAGCTCACCATGGACCGCTCTGCACCACGTGACTTAACAGCACCAGCCCGTGCTCAAACTTTGCTTTATCAGAGTGTTGCGACATTTACCAGCCCTGGGTTGATCTGGCCCCCGCGGGTACCGTGCGGGCAGCTCCTCTGGTTTTCACATCAAGTGTTTGGTTCAAGTCCTGTGGCTGTGGGGTTACGTTACTGAGGGTAGGCCTAAATAAGAGTCTAACGAACACATTACTCCTATTAATGATTAGAGGGTAGAAACTGGAACAGTCTTAAGCATTAAAAAAACACGTATCACTCATTACTCTTCCATGGATGGTCTGTGGTCACTCACACATTGAACTGCTGCAGTAGCAGCCAGCTGCATCAACCCACCTGGGTGGGATTGAGATGGAAAGAAGCGATTGATTAATTTTACTATGTATGTAATTTCTCTCTCTCCCACAACACTCCTAACCTGAGACTCAACAGAAGTGCAAACTACCACATTTAAAACAAGGGCACAGTGCACACAACCTGTGAAAGAAAACATGCTGTAACCAACTACAGTACCGTCAGATAACTAGCGTGACTTTGGGATATCCATCCCCCTCAAATTAAATAATAATAATAATAAAAAAAAGACAAAAAAACCAGCAGCAGTTTTCAAACCAGCTTACAGTCAGCTGCAGAAGGCAAGGACACTACAGCTGTTGTCCTACTGCTTTCAACAGCATGAAAAAGCCACAATTCCAAATCCTAAACATCACATTTTCCTAGCCCGTTTGTGTGTAGACACCAGAGCCGTGACTGTTTCTCTGTGCACATTAAACAGAATCACAGAATCACAGGTTCTTTCCAGAAGTACCCATTTTAACACGCCTAGCAGGCACTGGGACACCTCCTAGCCAAGCTTGCTTTCGGCAAACCTCTTCTGAAAGATGTCTTCAGTGCAGTAGGTCCAGATGACGCCATTTTTCTTTTGCCAGTTCTCAAAGGGTGTTGCGAGTGGAAACAGGAAGCAAAGACATTTGTTCACCTAAACCACAATTAACCCCAGAGGAAAAAGTAGTAGTTTAGCCATTTCAGACACTTGTCCAGCTTGTCTGAACTAGCCCTAGCTCCTCCTGCCTAACAACAGCAGTGCCACAGCCATCTCCTTCCACTGCCACCAAGCAGAGGCCCATCTTTGGGCCACCTCACACCTCCTGGGCTTAGAAGAAGGGGGTGCATCAGCTCTTGCACGGCCTCAGCATTTGGTAGGTGACACCAGCCTGGCTTTGCTGCAAAAGAACAACGAAGAAGGGGGTGCATCAGCTCTTGCACGGCCTCAGCATTTGGTAGGTGACACCAGCCTGGCTTTGCAAAAGAACAAGAGATTTGACTTTGGCCATTGTGGAATGGACTGGCTGCAGCTGGTGAGCCTTCTGGCCTGTTCCCCTGGGGCAGCAGGCTGGTTGCAACCCTTCTGTAATTACAACTTAAAGGGGAAAAACGCCATGAAATATTAAAGGAGTCAGCAATACTAATTAAAACCATGGGAGGGAGGCCTATCTGAAATGACCTGCTCAGGTGTTCCTCTAGTGGGCTGTAACTCTTGCCTTCCACGTGCCCCAACAGGCCAGGCTGCGAAGTCGGCGCAAGCAAACTGAAGGTAGGACAACTCTTTGGTTTCATAACTAAGAGCCCCGCGGGTACCGTGCGGGCAGCTCCTCTGGTTTTCACATCAAGTGTTTGGTTCAAGTCCTGTGGCTGTGGGGTTACGTTACTGAGGGTAGGCCTAAATAAGAGTCTAACGAACACATTACTCCTATTAATGATTAGAGGGTAGAAACTGGAACAGTCTTAAGCATTAAAAAAACACGTATCACTCATTACTCTTCCATGGATGGTCTGTGGTCACTCACACATTGAACTGCTGCAGGAGTACCCAGCTGCATCAACCCACCTGGGTGGGATTGAGATGGAAAGAAGCGATTGATTAATTTTACTATGTATGTAATTTCTCTCTCTCCCACAACACTCCTAACCTGAGACTCAACAGAAGTGCAAACTACCACATTTAAAACAAGGGCACAGTGCACACAACCTGTGAAAGAAAACATGCTGTAACCAACTACAGTACCGTCAGATAACTAGCGTGACTTTGGGATATCCATCCCCCTCAAATTAAATAATAATAAAAAAAAAAAAGACAGCAAAACCAGCAGCAGTTTTCAAACCAGCTTACAGTCAGCTGCAGAAGGCAAGGACACTACAGCTGTTGTCCTACTGCTTTAAACAGCATGAAAAAGCCACAATTCCAAATCCTAAACATCACATTTTCCTAGCCCGTTTGTGTGTAGACACCAGAGCCGTGACTGTTTCTCTGTGCACATTAAACAGAATCACAGAATCACAGGTTCTTTCCAGAAGTACCCATTTTAACACGCCTAGCAGGCACTGGGACACCTCCTAGCCAAGCTTGCTTTCGGCAAACCTCTTCTGAAAGATGTCTTCAGTGCAGTAGGTCCAGATGACGCCATTTTTCTTTTGCCAGTTCTCAAAGGGTGTTGCGAGTGGAAACAGGAAGCAAAGACATTTGTTCACCTAAACCACAATTAACCCCAGAGGAAAAAGTAGTAGTTTAGCCATTTCAGACACTTGTCCAGCTTGTCTGAACTAGCCCTAGCTCCTCCTGCCTAACAACAGCAGTGCCACAGCCATCTCCTTCCACTGCCACCAAGCAGAGGCCCATCTTTGGGCCACCTCACACCTCCTGGGCTTAGAAGAAGGGGGTGCATCAGCTCTTGCACGGCCTCAGCATTTGGTAGGTGACACCAGCCTGGCTTTGCAAAAGAACAAGAGATTTGACTTTGGCCATTGTGGAATGGACTGGCTGCAGCTGGTGAGCCTTCTGGCCTGTTCCCCTGGGGCAGCAGGCTGGTTGCAACCCTTCTGTAATTACAACTTAAAGGGGAAAAACGCCATGAAATATTAAAGGAGTCAGCAATACTAATTAAAACCATGGGAGGGAGGCCTATCTGAAATGACCTGCTCAGGTGTTCCTCTAGTGGGCTGTAACTCTTGCCTTCCACGTGCCCCAACAGGCCAGGCTGCGAAGTCGGCGCAAGCAAACTGAAGGTAGGACAACTCTTTGGTTTCATAACTAAGAGGAGCATTGAGGCGTTTCACAGAACCATCTCCGTGGGGCACATTTCAACCGACACACACTGAAATCACTTCAGTACGTAACATTCTTGTACGTTGCTATCAAAATCACTTACTCAAGCATATAGAGACATGTATCTGTATAATCCAAGGAAGCTGTGGGGCAAGAGAAATGTTTTTAACTCTCTGTACGGTTCTAAAGCAACATTCTTCACTGGAATCGTGCCACTTCCAGGAGTTTCAGACACAGCTGTCTTAAAACTGGCAATTTGAAAGGTAAATGAGAAGATTATTTCCTAGTTAGTGACATGGTAGAGACGTTACGCTGACTTGTTTGATGCTTATATAGGTCAAGTACTTCTATACAGTAAAAGCAAGACATAGGAACAACTTCTAGCACCCATGGGATTGTTCAGCCCTCTTACACCGCATTTTTCCCAAACTTCCTCCCCAAACCACTCGTTTTTGACAGACAGCTTAAAGGAGACTTACCACACCAAGGGAGGGGTGTTTAATGCAAATATTGGAAAAGTTTTGTAGGAATGAACAGATCAAATGGACAAAATACAGACAGCAGAAGGCAGTTTGATTAGAGTCTTCCACAAGAGAGATTGCTTGTGGTGATGCTACACCCTTCTAGCAAGCAAAAAACTGACTGTAGTTCAATCCAGTCAGCGTTAAAGGTTGTGCCGTAAAATTAGCCTCCACAGAATCAAGAGACAGGTTCAAACCATTGCATTTCCAACCCTGAAAGACAGCCAGAACGTGGTTTTTTTTTTTTTCTCCACTGCTGCTTGCTTCATTGCAGCGAAGGAACGATTCCTCTGTTCAGCAGCAACAAGTTTCCGCAATTAAATGTTCATCCAGCCCTCCCTTACGCACGAGAAACAAGGGTTCTCCTGCACGCACAGAGCCTTCTTGAACGCTGCTTGAGGAGGTCTCATCGATCCAGGCAGCGCTTTTGAGCTGCTTCTGAACACACATTCCTTAGAAGATTGATCACAGATCTCGGATCTGCGCTCTTCATAATAGCACTGCCAGATACAATCATATTTGCACCTGCCTGAAAGACACCAAACACCCACTCAATAACGGGGGACAGTTCCACCTCTTCAAAGAGTTTTCTTGCTGTAAAACAGGGCAGGAGGTAGTGAGGTGTAGGCTGGTGGGCAAACAAGCGGTATTTGCTGGGGGGGACAGGTAACATACGTCTTAACTAAAACCACAAATCAAGATCAGAAAAGCAGCTCTTCCCCAAATAGGTAATTTCTTCATCTTTGCTCCTATTTACCCAAACACACAAGAAACAACCAACTTCTCTAGCTTAGGGGAGACTTCAGTAGCCACTATTAGAAAAGGCACGAGATTAGACCCTCAAACAGACTAATGGTTCTCCTCAGCTTTATTTTCTGCGGGGCGTCTCTCAGCAGAGTGACTGGGAACGCTGCTGCGCGGCAGCCTCTTACCTCTGCGCACTTATGGATGGTGTCAGGCCCAACTCCTCCATCCACTTCAATATCCAGCGAGGGGAACTGCGTCCTCAACCACTGAACCTGAGGAAAGGTACAAAAAGGTTGGCACCAAGATCCACGCTCACCTACTGCTGTTGCCCATAGCTTCTTACATGCCCAGATATGGCTCAGTCACTTCACCACTACACTCCGTACTGCTAATTAGCTTTAAACTCAATAAATAAGAGAGACTTCCAAGTTTACCTTTGGCATCATGTCTTCCATAAACTTCTGCCCTCCAAATCCAGGTTCTACTGTCATGACCAAAGCCATGTCTATCTGATTGGCCCAAGGTGCCAAGTGCTCAACTGTAGTGGCGGGCTTGATGGCCAGGCCAACCTGCGGGAGAGGCAAGAGACATCCAAGTGCACCTTAGGATGACACAAATCACGGAAATGTGGAATTGTTGGAGTTGGAAGGGACCTCCTAGAGATCATCTAGTCCCACTCCCCTGCCAAAGCAGGGCTGCCCAGAGCACATCACTCAGGACGGCATCCAGGAGGGGCTTGAAGATCTCCAGAGAAGGGGACTCCACACCCTCCCTGGGCAGCCTCTGCCAGGGCTCTGCCACCCTCACCCCAAAGAAGTTCTTCCTCAGATTGGAGTGGAACTTCCCATGTTCCAGCTTGTGCCCGTTGCCCCTCGTCCTGTCACTGGGAACCACTGGAAAGAGTCCGGCTCCATCCTCCCTCAACCCACCCTTTAGACACTTATGAGCATTAATAAGGTCTCCCCTCAGCCTTCTCCAGGCTAAGGAACCCCAGCTCTCTCAGCCTTTCAAACGCAGTGAGACACAAACCTCTAGGAAAGTCATTATGTGTCTGTGTAAGTGCAGCAAAGAAGAGGCTGCTTTAAATATAAGATTCCTGATCTTATCCAGATCTAAAACTGAAGAGTGACTTGGTGCTGCACGAAGCTGGGCCACCCTCCCCACCACCTCTGCCCACCCAGAATCCCCAAGGAGGGGGTTTGTCACTCCCAGAAGCAGGGCGGTGAGCTGAGCCCAGGGCAGCGTCCCACTGCCCGCCCCCCCCGCCCCCCTCACCTTCATCCCGTTCTCCCGAATGTCTTTTATCAAGGCCCCGGGGTTGTCGGTAGCCTCCAGATGGAAGGTGTACTGGTTTGCGCCGGCCACCGCCATCGGCTTCACCCACTGCTCGGGCCTGGCGACCATCATGTGCATGTCTGGAAGGAGGGGAGCAGAGACAGGAGCTGCAGAGCGACCAACGCAGCGCCCGGCCCAGGGCGGCGCCACAGGCCGCCCCCCGCTACGGGAGGGGTGTCCCCCCCCAGGATAGACCCCCCGATCCCCCCTTACCGAAGAAGGGCTCCTGTCCCAGCTGCTTGCGCAGGCTCTCCACGACGGGGTGGCCGAAGGTGATGTTGGGGACGAAGTGTCTTGAGGGCCCAAGAGAGAGACCCGCCACCCGCAGGTTACACCCGGCCTTTCTACGACCCCTCCCCGAAGTTTTCCCTCCCCCCCCCCCCCCCCCCCCCCCCCCCCCCCTCGGCAGGTTCCTACAGGACACAGGCCGGGGACAGGTGGATAAATTTTAACGAATGGTCTCTGTCTCCTAGAACAAAATCCTCTCCAACAGGAGCATAGCACAGCCCTCCAGAAAGGGAGAGAGGGAGGGGGTGTTGCGCAAGATGCTCACAAACACGGAAATCTTGTCCTTTTGCCATCAATCCGCTGTATTTAGTCCTGGGGACAAGGTTTGCATAAAAAGGCTGAGGGCAAAGGGGACCGACAGACACACCGACAACAGACTGGCACAGCCCGGACGTTTGTGGAACGTGACATGCACTTAAGGCCTCTAACACTATTTAAGCAGCATCATTTTTGTCTTCACAGCAGAAATAACACCAGTTCTCTTACAGAGAGACTGGAGGAAAGCACAAAACCAGCTAGAGTACATCGTGTGCACCTCATGAGTACAGTATTAAGTGCAACCGATAGGAAAGCGAAACGCAGGAAAAAACAGACTGGCTGGTCCTGCCTGTCTGTTCCCTCTCTCATCCAACAAAATCAAACCATCTGCCTGGCCACCTGAATAAAACTACATTACGGATTACAAGCTGCATTGATTTCTAGCGGGGTAGACATTAAAAAGAGGCATTTTAGTTCTTGCTATGGCTTACTACCGTGGATTCACCAGTGAGAGTGGGAAACCCAAATAGAAACACTGATTACAGACACTGAATTAATTAAATGGAGTAAATCACAGTTATTTTGTCATCGTTAAGAGTGGAGTACCATGGTGAGGCATCTACTTCTCATTAAGGAAGATGCTCCCTCCTCCCTTTGCAGCAGAAGAGGTCACTCTATAAAATGCACCGTGGATTCTGCACGGGTTGTGTCCCAGGCATTTACTCAGCTCACGTCAAAACCTCTCTGCCCCCACCACACTGCCAATAACCCAGCCTACCTCGGGATCTGAAACTGAAGCTGTGGGTTTTTTCCTCATTTGTGCGTCACTGTTAATAATAAAACTCAGCATCTGGAATTTAGCAATTCTTTGAGTGACCTCCAAAGCGAGGAGCTAATCCCAAGCAGTCTCCTGTGGGCAGCTGGTGCTGGCTGCCCCTGCACTGCGGAGATAAGAACGGGTACAGTGGGTCAGCAGAGCAAGCAGTTTGTCATTGGGGACACACACTGAGCAGCAGATCTGAGGCACTGCCATCTTCACCCAACTCTCTCTCTTACAAAACCACGCACACTTTAAAGTTGCATTAGTGCACCACCTATATATAAATATAGATATGTCTATGGTGATACAGGTGGTGCACTGTAAAAGGACTTGCCTTTTCAGCCCTCCTTTTCCCAAAAGGTGCTGAAAGCCTCCATCTCTCACCAATGCAGTGGCAGCAGAACACGCTCGACACCCGTCAGCCTGGGAGAAGGATGGCTTTTCACTATCATCAGAGGTTTAACGTGTGTGAGTTCCCTCCTCGGGCTGGTGTGCAACCGCTCCTGTCACCTCTGAGCATTTGGCACGTACCGGGCAGCACAGCCTGAAGGCTGAAACCTGCTCTCAGGTACAGGGTTAATTTGCCACGCAACAGAAGAGCTGCGTGCTGCACCACAGCAGTGAGGCGGTCATTTCTATGGCAGTATTTTAAACAGCTGTTTCAGAGCTGTTGAAGAGAGATGCGAGGCTTTTCTTTGGAAATGGATAGGAGGATATCGTTCTGTCTCCTCAGTAAGGCTGTTTTATCACGCCTGCGTCCAAATTACAAGCCCTCAGGAGCCACGCTGGTTAATTAGCACATTTACAGACTCTCAGGATGATGTAAAACATTTTTCCTCTGCACAATAATGCCATGATTATAAACTCCAGTTCTCCTAACTTAAGCTGAAAAAGGCAGTAGATGATTCCCAAAGCACAGGGTGACTTTGGGCGTTGCTTATGATTTCATGGTTTGTTTCACAGCTGTTTTGCAGCGTGCCCCTAAGCAGCTAATGGCTACAGTCGCATTTCGGTGTCATTCCATGATGCTGCAGCACGGCCTGGAACTCAGCTGTGACTTCAGCTGGTCCCCCAGGGGAATCTCCACCTACGTATAAACGTTACATATATCTCTCTCTAATATTTGCAGCCGTGAACACCACGTACATAAAACGGAACCTTTTTAAATACAATCTCAACATGCCAAAAATAGATTCTTTCGTCAAGTTTTTGCCCTGCAATATCCATCTCTTGTTTAGAAGGTACATATATATTTTATATATATATAGGAACATGAAAATACCATCTGTAAATATTTACTTTAAATCCCTATATCTAAGTACATACCACAGCATCAGTGGAGCAGTTGCTAGGTACCAGAAGGTCCACGCATTCCAGATGCGGTTTCTTGGGGTGGGTTGTTTTGGTTTTTTTTAAGCTGTGGAGATGAATTACTTGGTACATTTAGGCAGGACAGCGTGGGCTATTTATACCATCTGCAGCCCCCTCACCCCCTGCCCGTCTATATCTGTGCGCAGCACGTGCATTCCTTCTTACGGTATGTACTGTATTTAGTTTTACAGAGCAAATATTTTTGTAGCACTAGGGCAATATCTTACAGAGTGGAATGAAACCAACAGACAAAAAGTAAACTTAACTAAAGTCTGCAGTGCCAAAGAAAAAAAGAAAAAAAGTCTAATTGCTCCATGGTGCTTATCGTTGCTCGGCAAGTTAGAAACAATGGTCCCAGGCTTGGGAAAAATCGAGCTTTAGATCGGTACCTTTTTGTCAGTGTTTTCACTGTCAGTACCAACGTGTAAGAGCCTGGGGTCCAGCTACTCTATAGCCCTCCTCTCAAAAACACTACAAAAATAAATCTTGGGCACAATCTCTAAAGAGGCTTCTCTTCTCTGTTTGACACAGTCCAACAGCCCGCTGACCCAGCGAGGCCGCTCATCACAGTACCTGGCTGCCAGATCAAGGTTTTATGGACCACGTGTTTGCCCACACACCTCTACCCTGAGAATTTTGTAAAAATTCTCTGTTCCTGCGGTCTTGCCCTGAACTGAAATAGATTGCACAAACAGAAATTTGCCAGTCTACAGCAACCGTCTCTGTTAGCTATTTTCTGCTTTCGGATAATAAAGTGCTCTTGTTTTAATTAGTTACTAGTTACCAGGGAACTCAAAGGAGAAGGTACGCTTTCTCTTCCTCCTCCTGCTGCTGTACTTCCCCGAGAGTTAGACATGAGATTCATCTAGATCGACGTCAGTCTCCCCGAGCTCCACGTGCGTGAAGCTGAAGTGAGTGGCCAGCAAGGGGTTCTCCATCCCGTTGTCCTCACTGATGTGAAGAACAGTGTCCCCGTGCTGCAGCAAGCTGGTGGTCTCCAGGCCCGCGTAGTCCTCGGTGTCGGAGAGCTGTGCGGGAGGGGTGCTTTGTGCTGTTGTTGGCCGGGACTCCAAGCCCTCTTCTTTTTCCTTCTCCTTCTCGGTAGAAAGCGCCTCGCTCTGCAGTTGAGGAGAGCCAGGGGTCAGGCACAGAGAAAATGGGAAGGAGACAGGGGAAAAAACCCAAGGGAACATCTATAAAATACTTTCTCATTTGGAAATGCTTTTTATTGTAAATAGCTAGGCACTTACACATTATAAATCCCTAAAATTCTGCCCTAAAAATGATACATTTTTGCCGGTGAGTCAAATTTAGAATCATAGAGTTGTCTAGGTTGGAAGGGACCTTTAAGATGATCTAGCCCAACCATCAACCTGATAAAAAAAAACCCCATCACTAAGCCATGTCTCTAAGCACTATGTCTGCCCGTCTTTTAAATACCTCCAGGGATGGTGCCTCAACCACTTCCCTGGGCAGCCCATTCCAAGGCTTGATAACCCTTTCCCTGTAAAATTTTTTCCTAATATCCAACCTGAGGTGCAACTTGAGGCCATTTCCTCTTGTCCTATTGCCTGTGACTTGGGAGAAAATTTGCAGCAATGATCAGAAAGGTTGTCTGATTTCAGTCAATTTCATTTTTTTAAGTATATTTTCAAGAGGGATGTTTTTCATTTGTTCATAGCAAAGGCCATAACCCCCAAAGGACAGTCTGTATCAGGGGGTATAAAGGGGATCACGGTGTCACTGCCGTGTTGAAGGGATGACTGTGATTGTCCCTGCACTGTCCTCAGCGGTGTCTGACACAAAAGCATTGGACAAGCAATTTCTTTTGAAATGTGATGCACTTGCTAAAGCAGTCCCGGGGTTGTGAAGGTGCCCGTCCTTAAGGACACATTTCTCAGAGAGCAAACGGTGGAAACCTGTTGATGAAAGCTCACACTGGCGAGCAGGTCCAGAAGGACTGCTGTATGGGATGGGGAGGTGGAAAGGGAAGATGCAGGACATATATTGGCAGATTAAGAATGATTGTATAGATCTAGAAGTGAATGGTTTACCAAAGCAGGGGGGGCTGGACGGCAAACTCAGCCTAAAGAACAGGCACACAGAAGCGTGTTGAAGGGATGACTGTGATTGTCCCTGCACTGTCCTCAGCGGTGTCTGACACAAAAGCATTGGACAAGCAATTTCTTTTGAAATGTGATGCACTTGCTAAAGCAGTCCTGGGGTTTTGAAGGTGCCCGTCCTTAAGGACACATTTCTCAGAGAGCAAACGGTGGAAACCTGTTGATGAAAGCTCACACTGGCGAGCAGGTCCAGAAGGACTGCTGTATGGGATGGGGAGGTGGAAAGGGAAGATGCAGGACATATATTGGCAGATTAAGAATGATTGTATAGATCTAGAAGTGAATGGTTTACCAAAGCAGGGGGGGCTGGACGGCAAACTCAGCCTAAAGAACAGGCACACAGAAGGGAGGGTGTAGAGAGGTGGGGTCTTCTCCCAAGTCACAGGCGACAGGACTAGAGGAAACGGCCTCAAGTTGTGCCAGGGGAGGTTCAGGTTGGTTATTGGGGAAAATTTTTATGCTGAAAGGGTTATCA